GAGAGAGAGAGAGAGAGAGAGAGAGAGAGAGAGAGAGAGGAGATTGGTTGAGTTGGGTACAAATGCCAGTTGCTCGTGAATGGATCATTTTTAATTCCCTCCCCCTTCCCGTCCCGCCCCCCTTGTGGTGGATGGGTACCTCCGTCTGTCTTATATTTGCAGGTTGATAGTTGAGTGTTTTGTGAAGCACAATAAGCTGGATGAGGCGATCCGGTACTTCAATGCTTTACGACGGATTTCCAATTCCATGCCTGCTCTCCACCAAGGAGGAGAGTATGGTGATCCCCTCTCTCTCTATCTTCGTTCAACGTGTCGAACGGGTGAGTGAGTGAAACAAGTATTTTCAGAGGTGATCCTTCTCTCTCGTGTTTCCTTGTTGCTGTTTTCCATCTTTTGTCTGTTTTGGGGACCACCTCCCGTCTTCACCTGAACACAACGCCAGGTCGTTATCGCTGTACCTACACTGAAAGTTGTACCAGATACTGCTATAATGACAGGGCGTTCTATTCGGGTGAAGACGGTAGCTGCTCTCAAAAGGAAAATAATTCACCCGCCTGTCAAAAAAGAGTTGAAAAATAAAATAGGAACTGTCAAAAACCTCTTGTTAGGCGCCCGGGATCTGGTTCCATTAGTAAAGAGGATTGGATTTAATTCCTGAATGTGGATGCGTTTTGTGCAGAAATGCAGAAAAGCAGATCAATCGCAATGTTCTGCTTCTTTCCACAATCAAGTCCAGATTCTGGAATTAAATCCAATCCTCTTTGCTAATGGGGCCAGGCTCCTGCTGTTCATAACTGCAAATTGCACATGCCATCTTCTTCCGTTGTGGGGGACGCTGGGCCTTGTTCAAGGCAAAAAAAGAGAAAAAAAAGAAAAAAAAGGAAGAAAAGGAAAAAAAGGAAAAAAAGGAAAAAAAGAAAAAAAGGAAAAAAATCTAGGCTACCAGCCGGGCCGCCCGGGTCCTGGGTGGCCAGCCCGTGCAAGGACCAGGGAAGGTCCCAGCAAAAAAAAAAAAAAAAAAAAAACCCGAAAAAAAACTATGTTATGCAGAAAAATAAACTGAACAACTTTTGCCTCAGGGTCACATCGAAATTCCTCACCAAATTTAGAATAAAAAATATACTTTAAAAATATATACATATTTTTTAATTTTTAAATGCTTTTTGGCCCGGCCGGGCAAGTGACCTCGGGCCACTCTGGTAGCCTAGAAAAAAAAGAAAAAAAGGAAAAAAAGGAAAAAAAAAAAGAAAAAAAAAGAAAAAAAGAAAAGAGAGAGAGAGAAAGAAAAAAAGATGAAAAGGAAACTGAAGACAAAAGGGAAAAGAAAAAACAAATTACTGGATGCCAAGTTTGCCTATCATCTGTCCTCTCTTCGCTTATATCCGTCCCTCTTTCGTCTTCACATATTCTTCTCCCTCTTTTTGATCAGGGAAAAATGCAAAGGAGATATAGGAAAGAAGAATACAGGAATCCGGACCGTCCAGATCCAGATGTCGGGATTCTTGTCAAGGGGACGGGTATCGGCGCTTGTGGTTTGAAGGAATGTTTTTTTTTTTGGGTGGGGGAGGGGTTGAAGGAATGTCATGAGGGTAGGAAAATGAAAGTTACACAAAAACTTGAATCTGAAAAAAAGTTAAAAAAACAAAATTGTATGGAAAAAACAAAAAATATAGGCTGTTTTTCCGGGCGCCCGGGCACCCAACTTATGCCCGGGTACCGGGCCGGGCATGCAGGGTTCCAGGCAGCCCGAGCGCAAAAAAAAAAAATAAAAAAAAATTCAAGGGAAAAAATATGTTGTGTAGAATTGCAATACAAACGACTTTTGGCTGAGGGTCACATTAGAATTCGTCACGGAATCAGAGATAAAAAAGTAAATAACAGACTAACACTAAGGCACCCCCTTTTAAACTCATTTAGCCCCTTTAAAACCAATTTATAACCCCCCCCCCCCCCCCCCTTGAAAGCCAACTCGCGCAAAAAGAAATGAGCCTGGATTTGGGGTCCTCTGGGAGAGCGCAGAAAACCAAAACGCCCGGGTATCCGGGGCATCAGACCCCCCGTGCATCACGCCCGGGTCCCCGGCCGGGCATAAAAATCTTCCTAGCAAAAAAAATGATCGTTTTTCCTAGGAAGTTTTTTATGCCCGGCCGGGCCTGCGCGGCCAGGCACCCGGGCGTGACACCTGGGGGGGGTCTGATGCCCGGGGAACCTGGGCGTGCTATAAAAGAAAAATAAAAAATAATATAAAAAAAAATAAAATTACCTTCCTGCGCTTTCTGAGAGGACCCCAAATCCGGGCTCATTTCATTTTTGCAAAAAAAAAAACCTTTGTGAATGATGGCTCCCCTCCCTACCTCACCACCTTCAACCAAGCCCCACTGACGCCGCGGGTTCATGCTTGAACGCATGAACATGGCTGTAATAGTGGCCACGCTCATGCTTTCCTAGCAATGATCCTAGTGCCAGTGGGATCTGACCCTAACACTCTCTGGTTTTGACTTTGTCAACGATGACCCCCTCCCATCCCTACTTCACCACATTCAACCAAGCCCCACTGATGCCGGGTTCATGCTTGAAAGCATGAACGTGGCTGTAATAATTTCCAGGTTCATGCTTTCCTAGCAATGATCCTAGCACCAGTGGGACCTGACCCGAACACTCTCTGGTTTTGACTTTGTGAACGATGACCCCCTCCCTTCCCTACTTCACCCCCTTCGACCAGGCAAGATCGGAGAAATGATACTTGCACTCGAAGCTATGGAGCGGGACAACCAGTCGATCCCTGACCGGGCGATGATCGTCAACAAGTACCGGCGTACAATGGTGAGCTCCTGGATCGAGCCGATGGATAAGGAAGGAGACTCGGGGATCGAGATCGACTATGTGGCACGATACATTGCGGAGGGCGGACTGACTGGAATGCGGCCCCGATGGCGTCCTCCCATCAGCGACGATGAGGACGAGCCGATCCCCCGGCAACCGGACCACGAGGGCTATCGGTTTGCTGCTCCGGCGGAAGAAAGCTTTAAGCAGGCCTGTCTGAAGGACTGGCAGGCGTTCAATGTACGACTTCTTGAGCGTCTCCTGGAGGAGGGAGTGGAAATCCTTGGCCCCGACGCAACCGAAGAGGACATGAAAAAAGTTGTCCAGAGACTGCGCATCGAAGTTATGGGAGGGAATGCTCGAAACCTGCAGAAGCCGAAGGCGGCGAGCAAAATGCTTGTTGCGGAGTTGAAGGCGGAGCTGGAAGCGCAGGGGTTATCGACGGAGGGCACGCGACCGGCGCTGTATCAGCGGGTTCAAAAGGCGCGCCGGATTGCTCGTGCGCGGGGGCGACCGATTTGGGTCCCCCCGATCAAGGAGGTGTCGACGGAAGAAGAGGCGCTCGTTGAAGGGTTCCTTAAATCGCTGCGAGAGCGCGCGAGCACCGGCGATTGGTCCATCCGCCCGCAAGCGATCATCGGCAAGCCGGAGGAGGACGAGAGCACAGATGTTGCTGGGTTGGACGATCTGGACGAGGGGACGGATGCGGACGAAGACGAGGACGATGTCGACGACGATGTCACACCCGAGGATCTTGAGAGAAATCGTCGGCTGCAGAAGATGCGAGAGGAAGGGGTCGCCGAGGAGGAGGAGGAAGAGGAAGAGGAAGCAAAAGACGAGGCCGCCGTCGTCATGGGCGTGAAGATCGGAGGGATGCGACTTCTCGACCAGGCAGTCAAGGAAGAGAAGATGAAGTCCGAAGCGATGATTCAGTTCCAAGAGGAATGGTTGAATCTATCCAAGGAAGAGAAGCTCCAAAAGCTCATCGATCAGAGATGGTTTGATCGGTCCGAGGCATATACTGTTGCCGACGTGTGGGGCTGGACATGGGAAGAGAATGAAAGAAATATGCTGCCGAACAGGTGGTCGGAAGAGCTTGAGCTGGAATTGGCATTACAAGTTCTTGACAAGGCAAGTGTTTCTCAGTTTTTTTTTTTCGCATCTTCACTTTCATTTTTTCCCCTCCGCTTTTTTTTGGCTTTTTTTTTTGTGGGGGCGGGGGGGGGAGGTGTATTTCTGAATTCATATCAGTTTTTTTCATCGTCACATTCGCTTTCCCCCCCTCTTTTTTTGTGTAGAATTGCAATACAAACGACTTTTGGCTGATGGTCACATCAGAATTCCTCGCGGAATCAGAGAGAAAAAAGAAAATAACAGACTAACACTAAGGTACCCCCCTTGAAACCCCTTTAGGCCCTTTAAAACCAATTTATACCCCCCCCCCCCCCCCCCCTTGAAAGCCAACTCGCAAAAAGAGAAATGAGCCCGGATTTGGGGTCCTCTGGGAGAGTGCAGAGAACCAAAAAAAAAACAAAAAAAAAAACAATTTTTATTTTATTTTATTTTTTTGCACGCCCCCGGGCGTCATGTCCGGGTGCCCGGCCAGGCATGAAAATCTTCCTGGGTGTCATCGTCGTGCGCTGCCGGAGAGGTTGATGCTCAAAACAATGATCTCCTGGGGCAGCGGTAGAGCTTGAGCTTGATTTCGCATCAGAATTGCTGGAACAGGCTAGTGCCGCTCTTGTTTTCTTCTTTTCATTCTCTCCTCCCCCCCCCCCCCCCGSCCACCCGTTTCTTAAGGGACTGTTTCACAATTCGTATGCATCATTGTTCTGGAGCAATGGCAGAGAGAGTAGACACTCAAATCGATGTCATCCTTAATTGCGCAGGGGTCATACTAATCTCCTCTGTGTCGTTCCGAAATTTCCGGTTTTTTTTTTTTTTTTTTTTGGTTGTTGTTGTGTGGTTCTTGTTGTTGAGGATAAGCTTCCCGCTTTTAACGAATATCCCCCAAGGACAAGGACATTTCCTTCTTTACTTCCGTCTTTTCTCCTTTATTTCTTTCTTTATTTCGTCCTTCCTTGGGGATGTTTACGGGGAAGGGGAGGGGAAGCGGGGGTTCTTTCAAATTCCTTCTTTGAAAAAGTTAAGCGTACTCGCTAGCAGGAAACTGAATGACACTACTGTCTTTCTTTATCTAGCCTGAAAGTTGCACCAAATACAGCTATAATGACCCCGGGCATTCTATTCGGGTGAAGACGGCACTCACAAGTTTTTTTAACTTTTTTTTTATCCTGGAGGTAATTAATTGGTCAAACTGACTCAGATGAGGCAGACCCTAATAGATATTAGATACGTAAAAAGTATTTAAAACTTAAAAACTTATAAAAAGATGTAGCCCTAATGTGTCATTCACTTGCACAGGATTCATAAAAAAAGTATTAAAAACTTAAAAAGATGAACACAGTTAGGAAAGAAAAAAGAAAAATGAAGGAAAAAAAAATGAAAAAAGAAACAGTGATAAACACAGTTTTATGTGAGTAGTACTGGGTACGTTTCAGCCACGCAAGCACAACGCGCCATCACTCGTATTGAGTCTCTGTGCACAACAGCCCGGTGCTGCCACGCAACCTGTCCAGTGTAGCTTTGCATTCTGCTGGAGTCGGAGGGGACAGAACAAGAAGGAGAAGAAGAAGGAGAAGAAGAGTCAGGAGGAGGAGGAGGAGGAGGATGCAAGGGATGCGAATGCGGTTGGGAGAGATTCTCTCTCTCTCTCTCTCTCTCTCTCTCTCTCTCTCTCTCTGTGCATCCCCTGAATTGCAGCAGGAGTAGGTGGAGATAGGAGGAGAGGAAGAAGGACAAAGGGGATGCAGAGGGGGTTGGGAGATCTCTCTCTCTCTCTCTCTCTCTCTCTCTCTCTCTCTCTCTCTCTCTCTCTCTCTCTCTCTCTCTCTCTCTCTCTCTCTCTCTCTCTCTCTCTCTCTCTCTCTCTCTCTCTCTGCTTTTGGTTTGGGAGATCCGTCGTTCCAATACTATGATGGTTTTAACTTTTCTGGGGGCGGGTGGGGTTGGTGGTGTGGTCCTCTGGCATGCACAGGTTATAAAGCTGGGCGGGAATCCAACAGCAAGCGATTGTGCTGTATTGCTGCGAACAGCAATGAATGCCTCACGGCCGGACAAAGTCGCTGCGCTCATTGCAACAACTCATCAGCTTGGACATCCATTAGGACCGTAAGTTCACGTCTTCATCCGTGTGGCATTCATCCCAAACCAAGGCCAAATCCAACTGCTTCCCCCTCTGTGTCTAGTTTTTTTTTTTTTTTTTTTTTTTTTTTTAAGAAGGAAAAAAGCTGCGTAGCATGGCGAACGTGTTTGCGCCCCTCCACGTTTGCGCGAACAGCTCGCGAACATGTTCAGACACGAACATTTTTTTTTTCGTAAAAAAAATAATAAAAAAAAATTCGGTTTTTGATTTTTAATTCGTGATTGGCTACGAATTTGAACATGATACCAAGGCAAAAATTGCTTGTATTGTTATTTAAACTTATTTTACATAGCATATATTTTTTCAGATTTTTGAACATTTTCTGATTTTTTTTTTTTTTTTTTTTAATGTTCGCGTTCGGAGGGTTTTGGGCGCTTGTTCGCGTTCGGCCGAACATGTTCGCGTTCGCCTCCGAACACGAACACGGTGCTACGCAGGAAAAAAGAAAGACTGCCGCTTTTTAGAGTCGTGACACAAGTTTCACATATAAACTCGTGTAACTATGTGTTCTCTTGTGGCAACAATTTCTAGCATTATGATGATGCCATGAATGTGTATAGAGACGCGCGCGCGCGCGCGCACGTGCACAAGAGAGAGAGAGAGAGAGAGAGAGAGAGAGAGAGAGAGAGAGAGAGAGCATAGTAAGCATTGGTTGAGTTGGCACTTGGCAGCAGTGGTTGCAAAAACTCGCTAGCATTCAGGAACTATGGGCCTCGCTGCAGTACGCAATACTCTACATGCAATTGAACGGTTTCTGGACCCGATACATTCAAAATGTTGGACTCCTCAGAATGCACCTGGTCCAGCAAGCGTCCGAATGCATGCATTTAGAGTGTGTTGTATTGGAGCTGAGACCCTAGCAAGCCTCCGAATGCATGCATCTAGAGTGTGTTGTATTGGAGCTGAGACCCTATGACTGGTTTGTTACCCTCTCTACAGAAGAAGAGTCTTGGGGGGTTCAATTTTTGAGCTTTAGCTTTTTTATACTCTTTTTTTTCCTGATGTTTTCTTTTTTTTTTCAGACTTTTTTTTTTTTTTTTTTCCTTCTTTGAATCTGGTTTGAATGTTCAATCGGAAAGTTCAACCGGGGCCAGGTCCCACTGGCAGCGTTGAGTTTCCTCAACGCCTGAATCTGGACATGTTCGTGGAGATGTGCAGTTGAGAAAACTCAACGCCATTTCTACACATATCCACAAACACGTCCAGATTCAGGCGTTGAGGAAACTCAACCCTGCTAGTGGGAATTGGCCCCCGGTCGTTCGGTCCCCATCGCACACGATGTGAGGGAAGCTGGGCCCGGTTCCCAGCAATATAGTGATCATGCGGCCTTCTGGACCAGGTGCATTCTGAGGAGTCGAAAATTTTTAATGTATCGAGTCCAGACAGGCACCAAGTTACCAAGGGCGCTCGTTGTCCGGTGTTTGCTGTTTTTTTTCGTTTTAGACATTTCTATAAAATCAATTAAATAATTAAAATTATTTTCTATAAAATAAACTAATTAAAACTCTTTCGAATCTTTTCTAATATTTCTGTAAAATAAATTAAATAATTAAAATTAAAAATTCTAATAATTTAACTGAGTTATTGAACTTTTTGTTTATTTTGGCAAGTTCGGTGAGAACCAACCATCTGAAGACGTTAGAACAGGGTTGAGTTTCCTCAACGCGCCCGAATTTGGACGTGTTTGTGGAGATGTGCGGTTGACGAAGCTCGATGCGATTTTCTGCACCGCACCACAAACACGTCCAGATTCGGGCGTTAAGGAAACTCAATGCTGTAAGTGGGACTTGGCCGCAGGGCTGAACTTGAACATGAGCTCCTCTTTTTCTACTATGCCTCTCACGTACAAAGCTGGCCACGTCGATTGTGGTTGAGCGCCAGCTGCCCACACCCCGCCGTGACTTAACCGCACACCAGCATATCATGAAAGGAGGCAGAGTAAAGGGGGAGGTATACTCCTGTTCAGTTTTCTTCAGATCTTCAGCTTATATTTTGTTTGTTCTCTTAATAATCCTCATTTGTAGACACTTACCAATAATACACAAAGGGAGGGAGGAAGGGAACGGGTAGGAGGCGGGGTTCTATAGGGAGTGAGGGCCAGGGGAGGGAGAGGGGTTAGGGGAGAAAGTGTGTGTGTGTGTGTGTGTGTGTGTGTGTGTGTGTGTGTGTGTGTGTACGGGAGAATGTTTGTGTGTGTGTGTAGGGGAGACTGTGTCTGTGTGTGTGTGTGTACGGGAGAATGTGTGTGTGCGTGTATGGGAGAGAAAGTGTGTGTGTGTAGGGGAGAAATTGTGTATATGTGTGTGTGTGTGCATGCGTGCATGTTGGGGGGGGAGGGTGCGTGCGTGTGCGCATGCATGCATGCACGCGCGCGCACGCGTGCGTGTGTGTATGCAACTCCACAGAAAAAATCATGACTGCTCCAGACTCTTTCGTTGGACTTTCACCGACTCTTCAGGAGGTTGAATGTGCGTGTCTGTGTGTGTGTGTGTGTGTGTGTGTGTGTGTGTGTGTGTGTGGGTGTGTGTGTGTGTGTTTTCATCTCTCATTTGTTTGTTTAACAGGCGAATATACCGAGAAGCAATTGACTTGTGTCTAGACAGGGGGGACCGAGAATGCGCGAGAGCGATTTTGGTGGAAATGGAGAGGGTGGAAGTCGATGTTCCGGAGGAGCTGCAGAGCAAAGTTGCTGTTGAAAACAATGAATCCGAGCAACAACAATCCGATGAACCTGGTGAAGCCGGCGAGTCTGACAATTTTGACACATCAGATGAAGCGCAGGGACTGTCTCTTATACACATCTAGATGTGTATAAGAGACAGGTCTGCAGCAGCGCCACCAAATCCTGACAAGATG